GGAGAAGTGAGGGCTCTGATCCACAGTCATTCTAGGATCCATCTTCCAATGTTGCCCTGGGCAAGCAATAGAGGCAGAGGAAGTGTGTAGGGATTAGTTGGAAGGATAGCAGGTAGAAAAGAAAGGTGTTAGGAAAGCCAGAGCAAGATAGAACAAAACTGCCCAAATGCCCAATTTTCTCAGCTCCTGGCAACTAAAAACAGTGTAACCAAGGGAATGTGTTGAATTCAAAGAACAGACTGGAGCGCTTGGAGTTTCATGATCTTCCCTGGTCTTTGATAGTTTTCTTAAGGAATTTCCTTCTCTGTTGGCTTCTTGGCCACGCACTAGCCATCTGATTGCTCTGTAGAGAGAGCAGCACTGTGTGGAAGGGAAGGCTGCAGAGGAGATCAGGAGCCTCCAGGTCACCACCTGGAATTATGAGTAGGATTCGAAGGGACTCTGGAGCATTAAGCAACAGAGAATCATATAGCTGGGAAAAATGAATGTCCAATTAAGATTGCTAAATTAGATATACAACTTGTTAACTTTTTATAGAAGAGTAAAGGAATACAACCTTTGCAGTTAACTTCTCTACCAGTCTAGAAAGTTCTAATAGTGTATTAGTTCTGCAGTTTACCTCTACTCTTCCCAGCTTATTCATTGCCCAAGCCTCTATAAGTTGTAAGTTGTTAATCATATGTATTGTAATATTATCCCTGAGTGGCAGATTAAGGTGTATCAGGCAATGAACAAAAATTATTCACACTTGGCAATAAGGCAATAAAGCAAAAGGATACATGTCCCAATTTGTTATTTACTACTAATTAGGGCCTGACTTTATGAGCTTACATGTTAACTTATAGATTTTTGTCCAGTAGAGATGCACATTACTCGTTTGGTAGAAAAGATAATGCCAAAGATTGTGGGCTTATTGCCTTATTAACCAATTAGGGCTCCAATTTAAGAAACTTGTTTCAGTCAGCATGCCTTTCCTGGCCAACTTTATAAACCTCTGTTCCTTGAATTCTATGTTGGTGGACCACACATACTGCAATTAACAAGGAAACTCATTTATTTATTTAGAGAACACCAGGGACAACTAATTGAAAACAAATATTGGAAAAGAGAAACAGGAAGCTTCTAGCTCACCACCAAAAGTTGTGTCAGATATGGTGTGCAAGTCTTGGGTTTGAAGATTTTAGGAATCTGAATTCAGAGCTACTTTTACCTGATGCATTTTACTCTGAGCACCAAACACATGAAAATGAATCAGTGATATTAAAATCCCATTCACTGCATTTTCTTTTCCTATTTTGTGTGTGAAGACATAAGTAATCTTTATAAATTCATATTTAATAGTATGAGCACTGTTGATTGAATAGATGTGCTCATTTTTGATGTTGTAGAAATACGTTCATAAAATGAGCGCTTTTTGATTAGCTCTTCATGCCTATCTAATACTGAAGTCTTGAATTTATGTGGTGTTTCCCACCCATTCTCTTCCACCTCTTTATCTTTTATGAGCACAGAATGCTAAGTACTCTTCTCCTGGATAGTAATATTGTTATCATTTGGTCAAAAATCTTGAAAAGCTCAGAAGTCTTACTGTCTAATTACCCTTGAAAAGAAAAAAAAAAAAGACAGAAAGAAAGAAGGAATCAGACAAACACTGGCAAAGTCAAGTTTTAGATTTTGATGGACGTCTTCCAGCAAGTTGTCCTGATTCAATCAGTTTAAGATTCCCAGGGACAAAACAAGCCTGTATTCCAACAGATTTATTGACTCATTAACAATTTGGGAGAGGACCATACACTAGAGAACCATGGACATTGCACCAAACGAAGACATAGATAAAGTTATTATACAGTTTGTGAAAGGGTGGAGTTGAAGTATAATTTATAGGACGCAGTGATTTGATAGGTTCAAACCAACCCAGAGTTGCATGAAGATCAGGCCTGGATTGTGAAGTGAACCCAAGGTCCTTCCTATTGCTGGAAAACCACAAAGTTATGAAAATGTGGAATATTGTCTTTAGAAATCCCATATTGGAAGCTGTGCCCCTAGATTAGATATCAAGATTCCATCTCTTTACCAAAATAACTTAGACCCTCTAAACAAAGGTGAGATGCTTTATCCTTGCTGATACCATTTCACCAGCAAGTTTCTGATAGTTTGTCAGTTGTGACAACAAAGTTCCTCAGTGAGTGAGGAAGCTCTAGTCATTCAAAGAAAGGTTAAGACATTTCACAGCTGCAGCAAGTTCTTAGGAGAATGTTTCGCATTAAACTTGCAGCTGGCCTTCTCTGTATCTGTTATTCCAGTCTCATGAATGACAGGGCAGATTTTTATCTCAGACTGAGCTAATTTCTACTTTTTCAATGCCATTGAGTAAGTAGTGGTTTATCAAAAGACTTTGCAAAAAGAATCTTACTTTAACTTCACCACAATCATGCGGTGTAAGGCAAAACAAATGTTGATAGCCCTGTTTTATACGTGATGAAACCAAAGCACACATGTTTAAGGTTCTCCCCTCTTTCTCTTTCCATAATGCCAAGTAGTGAATTAAAAGAACAACTAGAATTACCATCCTTGATTTCTAGAAGTCAATCCCATAGTTCTTTCTTTTCTTTTAGAAAGGTAGAAAGAAATGATAATCAAAATGTCTTAATCCTGACTGTGAAATGTCAAGATTTACCACTTTTCAATGTACAAATTACTGTTTTCCTCTCATTCTTTATAGATCCCATGGATATTGGAACTATTTTTACTCTGGACATACATGGTAGAAGAGAGACATGTGCAAATGAGAATTCTTAGTGTGCAAATGAATCTTTAATAACATTTCTACAAAACATGTGGAGAGTTGTTTGCTGGATCATTCAAAAGTAGGTAATAAATTCCAAAGAATCCAGATTCATATTTTTTATTAAAGAGGCTTTCTATTATATGAGATAGAAACTGAACATTCATAATTGCCAAAAGAGAAGTTTCTTTTTCCTCCTCCTCCTCCTCTTTCTTCTTCTCCTTCTCCTTCTTTTCCTCCTCCTTCTTCTCCTTCTTCTCCTCCTCCTCCACCTCATTCTTCTTCTTCTTCTTCCTTCCTTCCTTCCTTTCTTTTTTTTTTTTAAAGTAGGTGCCACACACAGCAGGAAAGCCCAACTTGGGGCTTGAACTCACAGCCCCGAGACCCTGACATGAAGACCTGAGCTGAGATCAAGAATCAGACATTTAACCGACTGAGCCACCCAGATGCCCCAAGAGAAGTTGTTTCTTGCTTGCAGGTATTATCTCTGTGGTCTTCCAGGCTATGACTAGAAGGAGGGGTATGGGGAGGATTGGGTGTGGATCAGTGTCCACTCTGGCTTACAGAGGATAGGCAAAAGTGGGTCCTCAAAGCTGCCGGCACTTCTACAGAATGTTGTTCTTACTGGTTTTGTAAAGGGAATGCCCGCTGGGCTCATCTGGATTACAAGTCATACAGCATGTCCCAGGCATGTCTTCATGTGATATATCCATGTGAACATTCCTACCTCTCTGAGCCTTCTGTTTCCTTCTTTGGTACTATGCCAAGGCTTTTGGGGGCATCTCCACCTCCTTCGCTAAAGGCTATCCTTTTGTCCAAGCTTCAAGGAGCCAGTTCAGTCACAGACAGGACCAGGCCCAGATGCCCTTGCCAGTGCCTTATGCTCTGATCAGAGGGGATGGCTTCCGTATCAACGGAATCTCCATTCTCTAGTCTTATATTCTACCCTTCCTGGTCCTACATCCTTAAAACCCACTCCTACAAGTGTTTCTCTCTTGTTTTCAATATACATTAGCCAGTTCTTGGTGGGCTATGCTTATGGGCAATACACAACCCTCAAGTTTAAATGGCTTAGACAACAAAGTCTTCTTCTTGCTTACTCAAAGCCACAGTGGATCTGGGAGCCCTCCTGGTGTAGTAGTGAATACACAGACGAGGCAGGGTCAATCTCTAGGCTCTGTCATCTCAAAACAAGACCTCTGTAATCAACATGGCAGGAGAGGTTACACAGGGAATTCTCACTGCCCTTCTGCGAATCAACTTGCAAATGACATATACCACTTCTGATCGTAGTCCATTGGTCAGTGTCTCAGTCATTTAGCCATGCTTACTGCATGTGGCTGGAAAGTAACGAGTAAGTTCTGTGTGGAGAGGGAAGAGAAGAAAAAACCTTAAGGACCTAATAAAGGAGTCATATAAATGGAAGCATATCATACTATCCCTTATAGGAAGACCCGATATTTTCTATTGTAAATTTCATTCCAAATTATTCAATAAGAGAACTTGACATGATAATTTTTTATTTTATTTAGAAAAATAAATGAACAAAAATGGCCACAAAAAAAGTTTGAAAAAGCTGTCTGCACAGCAACAGGCAGAACTGTTAGTGGGAGGGACCTTATGTATCAGTCCCTTATCATGTAGCTGCTGAAGACTCTTTTGGGGGTCTGAGAAGTTCTTTATAGATCTTGCATATCAGCCCTTTGTCTGTAGTGTCATTAGCACATATCTTCTCCTATTCTGTGTGTTGCCTCTTGGTTTTGTTGACTGTTTCCTTTGATGTGCAGAAGGCTTTTATCTTGATGAAGCCCCAAAAGTTCATTTTTGCTTTTGTTCCCCTTGCCTTTGGAGACGTGTCTTGAAAGAAGTGTCTGTGGCCCATGTCAGAGAGGTTACTGCCTATGGAGGACATTAGGAGAAGGAAGGGAAAAACAAAGGGATGGGGATGTGAGATCAGAGTGGGAGATGAACCATGTGAGACTATGGGCTCCAGGAAACAAATGGAGGGTTTTGCGGGGCGGGGGGGGGGGGGGGGGGGGGTAAGCCTGGTGGTGGGTATTAAGGAGGGCACGGATCACACATGTCAAGCACTGGGTGTGGTGCATAAACAATGAATCTTGGAACACTGAAAAAATAAAATAAAATAAAATAAAATAAAACAAAATACCTAATGATGTACTGTATGATGATTGACGTAACACAATAAAAAAATAAAGATCTGTGAGCATAAAAAAAAAAAACTGTTGGGGGGTGAGGGGTGAGCTACTTTATGAAAGAGTGGGCTCCAACTGAAAACTGTTCTCTCTTATTTCCTGAATTGCAAAAATGTTTCCAAAAGTCTTCATAAATATGGCCTCTAGCTCAAGTCCAAGCTTGATGAATTTCTGGTTGTCCTGAAAAAACAAAGACAAAAATGAGAATGGCCATAGCAACTCAGCTTGAGCTCTTCATGTTTCATATAATCCAGAGCTTCATTTTAGACTACCCCAAATGTTAAGCGAGAATTAATACAGTTAGGAGTATTATGTTTCCAGATAGCTTGATCATTTCTCTTTATCTAGAAGACAGAGATGCAAAAAAGAGTACTGTATTATAGTCTAATTCTTCATCAGAAATTTATTGTTAATTTTTTAAAAATACCAGTGGCTGTAGTTTCAAATACAGCACTTATGACTTGCAGCACTACAATGGTACAGAAATGTTGAAGGCAAATTCATGGCGTCCCTCTTTCTCCCTCATCCCTTGAGATAATCCTTGTTAACTTTTGGATATAGTGTTAAGAAATTCGAAAGTAAAGAAATCCAAGATTTTGAAATTTGAGAAATTCGATTTGGTATCTTCCTTTAGAGAAGAGAAATACGAGTTGCCTTTAAAATGCCCTTGGTCCAGGGGAGTGGTGTCGGAAGACCCGCTACTACAGAGATGCCCCTCCCAGCACTATGGCCCCTAGGCTCTGCCTGTAAGCAACCTCCCATGCTCTGCCTCCGAATTGCAGCACTGGGAACCAGTGGAGATAGGGAGAGAGATGTCCAGGTGTGAGGCGGAAGCCCCTGCCTACCCATTGCTGAGATCCTGGACTCCAGGGAGCAGGTGCACAGCGGCACCAGCAAACAGCACATGCGCACACTCTACGCCTAGGCATCTGGCGGGCGCCCATTGTAAGGGTGAGTTAGGATAGCCCTAAGGTAATGTCTGCAAGGAGACCTGATTTGTTACTATTTCCACACCTTGGCCCCTGGGGTTTTTAGAATACTTCCAGCATTTGCACGTGTGTTGGTTTGCCACACGTTGAGGGAAACGGTAACAGTTACCTGATACAAGAGGATGAACGGCAAAGTGGCTTAATGGAAAGAAAGAGGGATGTAGAGGGAACCACTCACCTTGTAAAAAGCCCTGTAGTTTTGAAAGATGAGACACATGTCCTCCACGAACCCCTTCACTTGGAGGTACAGTTTCTTATTCAGCTTTTTCTTGATTTTGTTTAACCACATGGGTTTTGTTTGGCCATGAGATGCATTGTTACTCTGTTGACAGAGGTGCGGAAGGGCAGGCTGTGAGCACAGTTCAAGTCCACCCCCTGTTACAGACCGAGTGTTTGTGTCCTCCCCAAATTCCTATGCTGCGATCCTAACCCATAGTGTGATGGTATTAGGAGGCTGGGCCTTTGGGACATGATTAGACTGTGAGGATGAGCCTCATGAATGGGATTAGTACCCTTATAAAAATGACCCCACAGAGCTCTCTCCCTCTCTTTCCATCATGTAAAGACACAAATCGAAGTTGGCAGTCTGCAGGATTACACAGGCACTCCAATCTCAAGCTTCCAGCCTCCAGAGCTGGGAGAAATAAATATCTACTTTTTGAGCTGCCTTGTCCATGGTACTTTGTGGTAGCAGCTTAACTGGCCAAGGACTAAGTAAGCTGACTCAGATGTCCATCAACAAGTTGGAGATAATGATGAGTGGACCCACTGGATCCATATCCCAAATTTGACAATGCCGGTTTCGGGCTTTGTTGCTGTTACTTACATAATGTGGTCTTGAGGCAAAAAAGGGGCTTTTTGAACAGCAGTAGACCTTCAAGAGGACAAATTCACATTTCTGCAAAAGAGAGAGGAGACTTTAAGTGAGAAGCAGCTTGGAGAGAATGAAGTATACATATGCTCAGACAGAATGGATGGTTCCCAAACCTGTGGCCTATGAAACAAACATGGAATGGGAATTTTCTCTGGAATACAAATTTTAGTATTAGGTCATGTGATCAAAGCACAGCAGGGGACAGCTGTTCATCCCTGGGCACCATCCCTCCAGCCCCTGCAAGACTGTGCTGCTTCTCTCAAGTCAACAGAAAGGAGGAGAGTTCAGGTTTGTATTTCAACTCACCAACTGTTCCTCAGGCACCATACGCCTCTGTAAGACCTCAGATATCTGGTGACATTGTTGGCTTTGTGGGTAACTTGGTTGAAGAGCCTTTATCATGCAGAAGATGCAACTCCATGGGTCCCTGAGAAGTTGGGCATAAGGTCAGCAAAGGTAGATTTTCTGTGACTCAGCCACAGTTTCTACAGCTGCTAAAGTCCTCTGTTCAGGAATGACTGGTGGTTTCCACACTGTATCCAACTTCTCTCTGTGCTAGAACCCCATTTGGGCATAGTTGGCAGACACCCCTCCCATTTATAGTGGTAGCAGGACTGACAGTTTGTCGAGTGAGCTGCCATGGTGGATGATGGTCTTTCATTCATCTCAAAACCTAAGAGTTCTTATCTGAGCCACTATGGGCTCAGATATGAGCCCTGCCATTTAAAATTGAGAATTGGAAATTGGTACCTTCAGCACTGGAGTCTTGGGCCTCAATGAGCCATCAGACCACAGTAAAAGGAAACCAGCTCTTGTTTCTCAACTTTGCTGAGTAAGCACAGAATTATAGGCATCCTCTCCTCTGGCACTGCCATACCTAGGCCTAGAATCTGTGCTGCAGAAACTTCTTAGAAAGAAATCTATGAACAGAGTAGTGTCAGGCATCTGCCATTTGCCTCTACATTCAATGCCTCTGCCATTCTTCTCTGCTAGGCTCCCTGTGCTGAAGGGTTCTTGATAATCAAGAGGATACAGGGGCACCTGGGTGGCTCAGTCATTAGCACCTGCCTTCAGCTCAGGTCATAATCCCAGGGTTCTGGGATTGAGCCCTGCATTGGGCTCCCTGCTCAGTGGGAAGCCTGCTTCTCCCTCTCCCACTCCCCCACTTATTTTCCCTCTCTCACTCTGTCAAATAAATAAAATCTTTAAAAAAAAAATCAAGTGGATACAGTGATCCTTCCTAGATATGTCATTTGCCTCCTCTCTCCTTGGCTACTCCAGTGCTTGCTCAAGGGGCCCATTCCCGAGTACCCGTGGTGTGAAGATGGGGACTATACATGGGCACAGCAATAAAGAAGACCTGTCTTCTGCCTCTGCAGCATGCCCAACTGCAGAGCTTTATGCAGAATCCCTAAGATGACACTATCCCTTGGGAACTACCTGGGAGCAGTTGGATTACATTAGACTCTCCCATTATCAAGGGTACAACGTTCTGTCTTCATAGGGACAGACACAATCCTGATGGAAATCATCCATCCTCCTTGGTCACAGCAATTCTGCCTACACTATCACTTACAGAATGCCTTATCAGCCTTCATGCTATCCCTCATACCGTCATCTCTGACCGAAAATACATTTTTTAAAAGATTTTTATTTATTTATTTGACAGGCAGAGATCACAAGCAGGCAGAGAGGCAGGCAGAGAGAGGGGGGGAAGCAGGCTCCCCGCTGAGCAGAGAGCCCAACGTGGGGCTTGATCCCAGGACCCTGAGATCATGACCCGAGCTGAAGGCAGAGGCTTAACCCACTGAACCACCCAGGAGCCCCCCCAAAATACATTTTAAGGCAAAGGAAATATAGCATCCATGGTTATCTCTAGGCTCATCACAGTCCCAAATTTTTCAGCTTTTTGATGTTCCCAGAGCAGGTGGTATATGCTTTAAACCAGCACTCTATGTATGATGCCATCACACCCTCAAAGTGCCTAGGTCTGGGAAACAAGTGGGAGATGTGGGGGTGACACTTGCAGAATTTTTGCTTCCCATTAATCTATTGCTACTAACACTGTTATACAATGGATATTGATACTGTAAGACTTGCTCCCTCTGCATCAGGACACAGACAACCAGAGACAAATGCTGCAGGTTGAGTGCGCAGAGTGGGAGGAGCTGTGCCACAGGAAGGGAGGGCGAGAAGGGGCCAGGGCTCACTAACCTGTTAACATCTATATGGTGGATGTGGCATGTCTCATGAAAGGACTTTGGACAAGTATCACAGCAGAACAGCTTTCCAGGTCGACGGCACACCTCACATATATTTGAGTTTCCCGGCTAGAAGGGGAGGTAATGCAGACATCATTGGAATCAGTGAGATCCCAGAAGGTTGATACATTGAGACTCTAGAATCCATGGTCTTTGCTTATGCCCAGAGGACACTTGTAGATTTCTCTTCTCAAAATATTAAGGAATAACACTGAGTGAAGATTTTGGAAGAAGACATTTTGATCTGCAGTGAAGTTTGGGAGGAAGTGGATATTAGACCATTAAAGTTCTCTTTACAAAGACAAAGATTCTGACACAGACTAGCAACAACCACAAAAGAAGATGAATTAAAGATAATCTGAGAAATTTATTATTTTGCTGGCAAAACTTGGCTTAGGAATATAATACAGTGTCTTATCTAGTTATCTACATTGCATCATCTAATTGACTCACTGAAGAGGGATTTACCCAGGACTTAATGTAAGAGATTACACTTCTGACATATCACTGCATCCTATTTTCTTGGCCATAAGTACCCATGATTTGAAGGGCCTGGGGAGGAGTTCCTGCACTACGGGTTCTGTGCCTGGAGGACCCCTGGGCCTGTGACATACCTCTGGTTTGGAAAGACGTAGATACAGATTACCAAGTGGATGCCAGGGAGGACAGAGCTCTTTGGCTCTGGGAGCCTGGGGTAAGAGGTCCCATGATTTAGCTCGGCATGTAAGGTGTGGAGGTGCCATCCCCAAATGGCCATGGATTGTGGTAACAGTGACCACCACAACTGAAGGCCTAGGACATACCCTCATTTTCTGAGCACATGGAAGACCTATACTATACTATATATAGTAAAGGAGCCACAAAATTGGTTAATGCTAGATTTTTCACCAATCACAATATGTGGGACCTTAAGCCAGATTTAATTTTCTTTTTATTTTATTTTATTTTATTTTATTTGACAGACAGAGATCACAAGTAGGCAGAGAGGCAGGTAGAGAGAGAGGGAAGCAGGCTCCCTGCCAAGCAGAGAGCCCAATTCGGGGCTTGATCCCAGGACCCTGGGATCATGACCCGAGCCGAAGGCAGAGGCTTTAACCCACTGAGCCACCCAGGAGCCCCCAGATTTAATTTTCTTCAGTGAAGTTAAACATTTGATAGTGTTTGTATCTAAGTATTGTGGAGAAACAAATATGTGTTAAAAACAATGGAATTAATAGACCAAAATAAGATTTGGTCAAGGAATGAGCCCATTGGTAGGTAAAGAAATCACATTGTTTTCCTGGTGTGTGTGTGTGTGTGTGTGTGTGATAATCTATGTGAATAACATGTGAATCCCGACATACTACAATTTCTATGTAAATAGGTTGTGTGCCTGTGCTGCAGAAATGCCCAGAAGGATGAGCACCTGGCTCTTCTCCTGGGACCACCTGAACAGCAAGAGAGCCAACTGAAGAAGACTATGTGGTAGGGAAACATTTCATCCAATGGGTGGCAGCTCTACACTTAGATGAAAATATCCTGTCTACACCATGGATTGGAAGAAGGGTTTACATCCTCTTGTGACAATCTAGGTAGAGAATAATGCACAGATTGGGGGGGTTGCTGGCAAACCCAGCTATGGGTGGTTGGGACTCTTGGTGGTGATGAGGAAGTGAGGAGGTGACAGGGAGCACCATTCCACCTCTTCCTTCTAGAAACACTCTTTATGCTTTGTTCCATGATATTATACTCTGTTGGATTTTTTTCTAAGCCTCTGCTTCCTTTTTTCAGATATCCAATTCATCACCAGTCCTGCCAATCCTGCCAATCCCATCCTGCCAATCCCATCTCCTTCTCAATGCTTCTATGAGGTCTATGACCATGAGGACGCAGATGTCCTACTTACAACACTGTCTTATTAGCCAATCCCATCCTGCCAATCCCATCTCCTTCTCAATGCTTCTATGAGGTCTATGACCACGAGGACGCAGATGTCCTACTTACAACACTGTCTTATTAGCCAAAGCACAGCAGCCTTTTTTCAGGTTCTAAATCATAACAATCAGAATACCATCCGTGTACCCAGTGAGCTGATGTGAATTGGGATATATCTCAATTTATAAATTCTTTCCATCTATAAATTCAATATAAGAAGAGAAACAAAAATCACACATAAGAGGAAATTCTAGGGTCTGTATCTTGCCCATGCACTTTGACAGGGAAAATGTATTGAATATCCTGTCAGGGACATCCCTGTATACAACCCCACATGGGCCTGGCATGGGCCATGTAAATATTTTTCTTTTTTGTCATAACAGATGACACCCATGGATGCTGACCACTGCTGGGTGGAGGTTTCTGGACCATTATCTTATGAAGTGCACTATAAGTAGGCCCTGAGAAAGAATTAATAAACATGCCAATTTTGTGTTGGAAGGTCTATAATCTACGAAGCCCACAAACTCAACATTTATCTTTTTAATCTTTTTAGCAAGAAATTTGTCCTTTTGCTTGGCAGTGGTTCTCAACCTGCTGTACAATAGAATCACTTGGGGAGCTTTAAAAAATTCTGATGCCTGAGGCCACATCCTCAGAGATTCAATTAGTTGCATGTGATTTTGATTGTTTGTGTCACCAGGGTGGGGAGGATATTGGTAGTTTGTTTTAAAAATGAAAACCTAGATGGTTTTCAGGTGCAGTCCTTAGTGGAGACCTCTGGCTTCTAAAGCAGTGGTTTCTGGATCAGCAGAAGCAGTGTCCACTGAATCATGCTGGAAGTGTAAATTCTCAGGCACAATCCCTCACTCAATGAATCAGAAGCCCAGGAAATTCAGATGGACACTGCAGACTGAACAGCCCTGGCCCACCATGGCCCACAACTTTGGCCGTGTATTAAAACCACCAGAGGAGCTTTGGAAAATCTTGACCCTTAGAACACTAGCATCAGAATCTCTGTGGGTGGGACCTCCAGTTGATTGCCATGTGCAGCCAAGGTTGGGAGCCCAAGGTCTGGTGGGATTTCTTCTGGCAAAGTGTGGGAGCTATGAGTAGAGTCATTATCAGTCTACAAAATCTGCCACAGAAAGGCTATGAAAAGGAGTGTGGACATTCTTATTAGGAGATTCTGGGAAACAAACTGAGAGTTTTAGAAGGGAGGAGGATCGGGGGATGGATGAATGTGGTGATGGGTATTAAGGAGGGTATGGATTGCATGGAGCACTGAGGTTTATACACAATGAATCATGGAACACAACACCAAAAACTAATGATGTACTCTGTGGTGACTAACATAACATAATTAAAAAAAAAAAAGGAGAAGAAGAGTTGCCTTTTTATCTTCACAGAGGGCTTGGCTGTGAGCTGTGGGAATAACCCTCCATGTCCATTCCAGTTATCAGAAAGGCTGTGCAGACCTCAGAGATGAGAGCTATTCCACTATACAAGGGTCCCACCTCCAGCAGAGGAATCAAAGTCATTTGGTTGCATCTAGATCATGCTGGGCAATGCTAGAGGACCAGAGGGCATGGCAACCCTTTTCTAACCCCTCTCCATAAGCATCCCTTATCAATACAGCTGCACATCATTCTACAGTGAGAGCCCCCCTGGAGTGGTGCAAAAAGGTGATTTGGCCCAAAATTCCCATCTTGTTGCAATGAAAGCAACTGACGTGTGATTTGGCTTAGAGGGAGGGGCCCTCTGTGATGTTGGCAGACTTTAATGCAGGCAGCCGTAGTAAGCAGGGTCTTTGGATCATAAGGGTCTGTATATAGTCAAGCACTAGCCAAGCAGTTTGAGTAAAACTGTCTGCGATTTGCTACGTGTTGATAATTTCCATCTTAGCCAGTTCAGGTTCCTGACAGCTTCCTTGAGATGGGCTCCTCAAAGGACCCTGTGATATTTATCTGCATCACCCACTTGCCCTATGTACATTTTTCTGCAGGCCTGGGGACAGGGTCTTCCCCTGAACTTGCCAGCTTGGCCCAGCCTGTTCCTTCTGGTGGATGTTTCAAACCTTCTTAGCTCTGCCTCTATCTAAGAGTGGATGTTGGTGATCTTCCTTTCCTTCCTTATTACCTTCTTTAAAATACTGTTCTTCTCTCAGATTCGCTCCTTATCTGTCATGGGCAGGCCAGCCTTGGCTATTACCACTTAAAGTCCTGGCTCTAGAGACCCCAGTGGTCTAGCGCTCTGCCTCCCATACCTACTCTCAAGGGGAAATAAGGAAACAGGGAACTTTTCCTGAACAAATGGAAAGCAAGTTTCATGCAGAGACACCAACTCCAAAATCATCTCCCTGGGGTGGATGATACGTTTGTTCTCTGCTTGTTACATACAAGGACCCACTCCAACTGAGAATGAGCACGCTTCAGGAAAACACAGCAATGACACAGGTAATATATGGAGGGACAAGGCCTGGGTTATTCTGAGGTCACAGGTGGGGGAGTCAGTACTTACATAAGGGTCAAAAAAGTCACTCCTGCTAGGCTCTGGTACTGTCTGCTGAAAAGGGAGAAAGATTGAGTGACAATATTGAATATGATTTTTCATTAACCACGCATTTGAGTGAACTTCTTTATGCAAAGGATTCATGCCACAGCCCTCCCTTTGCTTTATATCTCTGTTTATGGGTCTGTATGTCTAACTGGAGAATAAAAAATCATGAAAATTTATGTCACTGACAGTTTGGCCCAATGCAAGCTCCACTCTCTGACTGCTCTTCCCAAAGCAGGCCTTTGTGAAGCCACACAGGGAGCCTGGTCCTGGAATCCACAGCTGGAGTTGGAGCTGCAATGAGGGAATCAAGCTGAGGACTGACTATCCATGGCCCCCAGAACCACAGCACCCAAAGTCCTGGACACCGTGCATGTGTCCCAAAGAACCCCACTGTCTTCTGCAGCTCACCCAGGGCCTAGCCCTGAAAATAAAATGGATCTAAGGTCCTCAGTCCTATTTGTCTTCTTCCTGAAGCTAAGCACCTCTGCACTTTCTCCTGAATCCCAAAAGGATGCATTGACCTTGGATATCTGTGGAATGACTTGGCCTCCTTCAGTTTGGAAGAACGGCTGCCTAGCTTCTACCTCCTGCCCGAGGCAGTGAGGCCACAGATAAGCCACTCGGTGTGATCCAGAGTGCAATGACCTGGGAGGCAGCCATGCCGCTACTAGACCACTAGAGTGGTGTAGTACCCCCCACCCCACCCCAACAGTTATTGTTCCATGTTAGACAACAAAGTTGAAACAGTCCCTTGGGTCTGTCACTTTGGCCTCCTGTGCCCTGCCACTGACCAAGCATATGCTTAGTGCTTAATGTTTGTGCCACAGGTGTTTGTTGAATGGGTACAGAAGGGCACAAACAAATGAACACAGCTGTCACTCAGGAGATGAGGTTTCTTAGCAACTGGTAAACGATTAGCGTGGATGGGGTGCCTGGATGGCTCAGTGGGTTAAGCCTCTGCCTTTGGCTCAGGTCATGATCTCAGGGTCCTGGGATCAAGCCCTACATTGGGCTCTCTGCTCAGCAGGGAGCCTGATTTCCCCCTTCTCTCTGCCTCCCTCTCTGCCTTCTTGTGATCTCTCTATCAAAAAAATAAATAAAATAAAAAAAAAGATTAGCGTGGACTTTTCTGTCTTACTATATTGGAACACCTCAGCTACCATCATCAGGTTTAACAGGAATCTTATGAGCAGGGAAACTGCCAATAGCACCACCTGTCATTTGATGGTGCAAGGGACAGAAGCCTAGGGACTGGGGAAGGAAAAGGCCCTCTGCAGAGATGCTCTGAGAATGGAGGTAGTGATACCTTAAGAGTTGTAAGCCCAGACAGAGATGGCATCTGTGATAAAGGGATGGGAGATGGCCAACTCAATTGACAAACCTGGACTCAGTCACCCTTGACTCCCTAGCACTGGGTAGAGATGTTTGCTCTTTTTTTTTCCCCTTCAAGATTTATTTATTTATTTGTCAGAGAGAGAGAGCGCAAGCAGGCAGAGTGGCAGGCAGAGGAAGAGGGAGAAGCAGGCTCCCTGCTGAGAAAGGAGCCCAATGGAGGATTCGATCTCAGAATCCTGGGATCATGACCTGAGCTGAAGGCAGCCACTTAACCAACTGAGCCACCCAGGCGTCCTGAAATGTTTGCTCTTAATGAAAGAGCAAATAACGTGTCTTTCTTCAGAAAACCCAGTGGGTGCAGGCCCTTGTGACAGGGTTGCTAGCATAAAGTCAGTGGAGCAGGTAGCCCCAGAAACCAACTTTGTGAAGACTGACTTTTTGTACAGCAGAGATGGACCAAGGGGACCTCTGTTGGAGGTTAAGAAAATGGAAGCTCTTCCATCTCCTTTTTTTGCACCACACAGGTTCTTTCTTGCACTTGCTCTTGGAGAGGACACGGAAACACCAACTATCCTACCTCCTTCCTTGGAATCCATGCACCATGGAAACCACTAGTCCATGAACTCCACATGTGACTTTGAGGGAAAGAGAATTCACCTCCATAGATGGAACTGAGGTTTACAAAGCCCCTCTGGTGAGCCCTGATGCTTTCATGCAGACACCCAGCACCAAAATTATCTCTCTGGTGTAGTCTCTCCACAAAGCAGAAGATCTTCTGGGTTAGCAGTGTCTCACCCCTAGCACATCAGCCTTCCAATCTCTCTATTCTCTAAGGTGGTATCTCCATAAAGGGAGTGAATGTTCCCTTAAAGAAGGATCCCTTGGAGAAGGACTCACTGTGCAAATGCATGTGTGCATGTGAAACAGAGGAAAGATACAAAAGAAAGGGAGAGAACGTGATCTGGGTTGTTAGCTTCACCACACGACACATGGCCATTATCCATCCCAAGGGGGCAAGACACTGGCAGAAAGTCATGTGATAATTACTTTTCTTCTTCTTCTTCTTGGTGGCTCTGGTAGATATTTTTTCTGAAAGAGAAATGAGATTAATGCTATAATGGGTCTTTGTTTCTACTCTGAGAGCTTGGCATTCCACCTGCCCTCCAGATAGGTCCCACTGTCAACCCAAATTCAAGGCGTCTTCATGGAAAGTAATGTCCCTCTCCAAACCTGTAACACACTGTTCTTTCTTACCTAGACTTGGCTTTAAGGTAAGCTTTAAAAATTGCATCCTCTCTTGCTTTCCTCATAGCCTCGCCAGGCTTTCCTCACCATGTCTTCTGCACCCACTGCCTCCTTTCCATCCTCCAGGACCCGTCTAGCTTGTGTGTCTATACCTCACATGCTACAACTACTCCATGGCCACATACCTGGGGAGGGACGGACAGGGGATAGGCCCCATCAGTGACCCTGGGCACACAAAGGTGTCTAGGCCTTTGGGGAGACAAGTAGGATGAACCTTACAGAATGGGTGCGGATGATGAAGAGTAAACCATGCTTTGACAGAGTATTTTGGGATCCAGAGATGGGTGAGTACAGTAGGCTGAATAATGGCCCCCAAAGTTGGTCAGATCCTAAACCCCAGACCTCTGAATATGTTAACTTCAGTGGTAAAAAGGACTTTATGGATGTAATTAAATTAAGGATCCTGCAATGGGGAGATCATTCTGGTTATCTGTGCAGGGCCAATGTAATGACCAGCATCCTGTTGCCAGGGAGACAGGAGGGTTAGAGTGAGGAGTAGGAGATGTAATGATAGAACACGATGTTGCAGTGATGCCAGGAAGGGCCTCAAGCCAAGGAACACAGACAACTTCCAGAAGCTGAAAAAGGCAAGGAACAAATTCTCCCTGGAAGGCTCCAGAAAGAACCAGCCCTGACAACACTTTGACTTGAGCCCAGTGAAACCGATTTCACACTTCCAGCCTCCTGACCTGTTAAGATAATGGATTTGTATGGTTTTAAGCCACCCAAGTTGTAAAGGGTTGTTAGAGCAGCCTCAGGAAACCAGTGTAGTAAGAGTGTGCTGTTTGAGTTGGGCCTTGAAGGCTGAAAAGGGGTGGCTCAGGCCCAGTGGTGGTAAAGGTCAGATGAGGTCTTCATGGCTGCCCGCACTCCATCCTCCAACCCACCCTGCATTCTCTGATCAGACTAATACTTCTAAAGCAGTGTTTCACCTGTGTTAGTCAGTCCCAAAACTCCCCGTGATTCCTCCATGATTAAAGGAAGGGTCCAGACTCCTTCCTCCAGCCTCCAAAGTCTAAGAAACCCCCCAATTTAAATTACTTTCCTGTGACCCCATTACACAGTGGTGATTATTTATGGCCCCATCAGGGCCACAATTTGCTGTTCCACCTTCAAAAGGATAAGAGCTCATGCATTTAGAGGATTAAGCTATAATATAAAGCAGCCAAGATGCTTCTGAGTACAATGTTAGTAGGTAACGCATGCCCTGTGGGCATCGTGACAGTTTTCTGGACACTGAGAAATTCTGATAATGCTTGGAGCTGGTGAACGATGACACTAAACCCTGGACATAAGCCACTTGTCATTGGGATACCTTAATCAGGTCTTTCAGGGGGAATCCACCACATCTCACACTCATCTTCCAGTTCTTGGATCGTGAGTGGTTTCCTTCAACTTCAAATTCCCTGAGGGTGAACCACCTTCCATCCACACTCTTTATACACTTCTCTGAGGTTCCTGTGAGACCAAAACAAGGAGTTGCCAAGGAGTAACCCCTGCCCCCGACTGCAGAACCTCCAGGATGTAGTCTCCGCTGTGGACCTGGGCCACATGTCTTGGGCTCTGAATCTACAGCAGGAGAACTGACATGCCTTTCAGTTGCCCACAAGCAGCCTGGAAGGCAAGGGTGGAAGAAAGCTCCTGGTCCTGTGCACCCATGTCTTTGATGTTTGTGCAACAAGGACAATAATTAGCACCAACATTTATTTTTAAAAAGTATCTCAGTCTATTCAAAAGAGGAAAATCTGAATGGCTCTGAAGATGAATGAGGAGGATTCTTTTCCTCCCCTTCTCTGAGAGCCAGGCTGAGTTTCAGAGGGGGCAGACGAGGTCCCATGGGTGACCATGTGGCAGCTGTCATGACACATCTTCTTCCTCTTGCACAATATTGACCATCCAGCTAATGGAAATTAGTTATTTCTCATATTTTGGGGGCACCTGCATGGCTCAGTAGGTTGAGCATCTGACTCCTGATTTTGGCTCAGGTCAAGATCTCAGGGTCGTGAGATTGAGTCCCGCGTTGGGCTCCACACTGGGAATGGAGTCTGCTTGAGATTCTCTCTCTCCCTCTCCCTCTCTCCCTCCTCCTCTCTTGCTCTCAAAAAAAATATTTCTCATATTTTGGACTCATAGGTACTTTATGGGAAAAGTGGTTATGGAAATGTCAAGTGGGAAAAGTTAAATTACACATCTGCAATACGGTCATAGGGCTAACATTGATACTTGTTGGTGCCTAAGAACTATATTTGGGGAGGAGGGGAATCAATTATGGCAGATGAACATTTGTACTGTACTTTAACAGTTATGATTTGTGAAGTATTTTATATCTGTCATCTCATTTTCCCCCCTCATAATAACATGGTGAGGCAAGTTTTATTATTATTCCCATTTTGTATGGGAGGATCAGGGTAAGAGAGACTAGTAATTTGGCCCAGATAGAACAGACACTTGTGGTATCTGAAACTTGAATCTGGGTCCTCTAATTCTAAATTCTGTGCTCCTCCCCAATGGCACAAGGCTGTACATATGTTAAGGGGAATGGGGCTGTGAAGACTGTCACCAGATTTTTCAAATGTGTACATATTCCACCCTGATATTGAAGTATTTGGTCTTGCATTGGGTGCTAGATGGGCATCCTGGGGACAATCTCCATGGGGAAAGGAGAGATGTCCTGTTATATTTATTAACTACAAGTGTGGAAATGCCATCTTTCCTCCAGCCTATCTGGGATGTTGTACAGAAAAGAGCTAATGGGTTAGACTGGAGGCTGCCATATTTAGAAAGTTCTGCTTGCAAGGTTGGATCTTGGCTGGCATTGGGGAACTTGCAATTGGGGGGCAGGGGTTGGGTATCACCATTCCCAGACCTTAAAAGAGTGTCTCACTGTCCTAAACTGTTTATATGAACAATATAAATGGTTTATGCCAAAAACCTGCTTTCCTTCTGAGAGTCTGGAATTTTGGCATGTGCTAGGCAGAGGACACCTATGTGACTAACCCCCGATAAAAACCTGGACTCCAAGGCTGGGGGCAGCTTCTCTGGTAGATGGCATTTCACATGTTACTACAATTCATTGCTAGAGAATTGAGTGTGTCCTGTGTGACTCTATTGGGAGAAACTCTTGGACAGTGGCACCTGGTTTCCTTTGGACTTTGTCCTATGTGTTTTTTCCTTCCTTGATTTTGCTTTGTACCCTTCCAGTCTAATAAAATATCACCATAAGTTCACTATATGCTGAGTCCTATGAGTCCTCCTAGTGAATCACCAAACCTAGGGATGGTCTTGGGAGACCCCCAACACAGGCCCCTGAATAATATATTATTCCCATGGGTACTTTCCAGTTAAAAAGCACAGAAGATCATGAAACCCACCTTGTATCATTTTCTCCCTATATAAAGTCCCCTTTGCCTCTCCACAGGTCACAGGAAGTTCCGGAAGGTAAAAATTTATACGTGTATCTCTGGGAATTCTTGGACCTGAAAAGAAGCATTATTTTTTTCATTCCATCTTTCTGAACAACTGTGCCCTGTTTTGATCACACGCATCTTGAGATCTTTCTTTTATAATTTAAAATGTATGGGAGGGCTTTCCCCCATGAACTCATTACCTTTCTAGGTCTTTCTTTCATGGCAGATTAGGAGCACAAAGATAACGTCATTCTCCGAAACCCTACATTAAAAGCTTTGTGTGGAGGTGTCTGAATCTCCAAATTTGTGGACCACAACTCTCCATTGTGCCATGATTTTCCTCCTGTTGTATTCTTGCTTTGAAGTTATGTAGCTGGAGAGAAAATTCTCAACTTTTCGTTTTGTCTTGAGGAATCAGCTCAGGGACAGAAAGCAAGATAGCAATGGGGCACCTAGCTGGGGCAGTGTCTCTCTTCTCTCCTTGCTCTTTGCTTGTTTCACTTCTCCTTCATGTGAGCTTTCTCTGTGGCTAAAAAGGAAACTCAGAGTAGAGTGTGCTAGAAGTGCAAATTACTCAGGGAGGGGACCTCTGCACATAACTTGGGCGGGGGCACTGGGATCTGATTCTGCTGAAGCAGGCATTGCAAGTCTTAAAATGAAGGAGCACCTTCAGAGGCAGGTGCTCCTGCCTTTCTGAGCAGAACTGAGGGGGATTCATCAAAAACACAAACTGGGGCTTCTCTATGGAATGGGAAGTATGGGTGGCCATGGTCCTTCCAGAGTTAGTTCTGTTAGAGCTGGAGTGGGCCTAGAAGGTCACTCAGTCTAATTCACCTGCCACCCACCCATTTACAGAGAAGGAAATTGAGGCCAAAAAAACAAAAACAAAAACCCACAAATGATAATCCAAAGTCACACAACCAAAAGAAGTTTGGAAATTAGGACACAAGTCTTGTATTACCACCTAGGGTCCCCCATGATGGGCAACCTGTGGCTCTTTATGTGGGCAAGAAGAGGGTCAGTTAAATATCATGAAAGTCATACCTTTTATATTTTTTTCTTTATATTTCCTTCCTCAAAAGTTATCAGTGTAGTAGTAGAAGCCCTCTACAGGTCCAAGAAGGCCTGGGGTCTCTCAGATCAACTGGCTAATCATTGGAATGGGTATTATATCATCTTGTCTTGTTGAAGTTAACCAAGGCCAATGATTATCTAACATTTGTTACTTATTCAAAAAGGCAATTAAGTAAACTGATTGATCACTCAAAACACAGAGTATAAAATAAGAATTTAGATACTTAATTATTAAAAGTATATTTACTTCCTTTTACCTCTTTTTCTGCCTCTTTTCAAAGACCTGGTGATGACTGGTTTTCTCCCTGAGAAAGTAAAAAAAATAACAAAAATGTCTCTTGTTTATAACATTACATTGCAAATGGTAGTGTTTTACAAAAATACCATTCAAATGTAACTTTTCAGAAGCCTGTCTAGTACTTGAAGAAATGTAGCAAATGTGTGAATGAATCAGGAATCAGGAACTTTTTCCTGTAAACTAAGAGATAGTAAATACTTAAGGTACCTAATTGCTGTTGTGACTATTCAAATCTGCTGTTGTATTATGAAAGCATCTGTAGATAATATGGAAATGAAAGATGTGGCTGTATTCCAATAAAACTTTACTTACAAACAGCCAATTGGCTGGATTTGTCCTATGGGCCATAGTTTGCTGAACCCTGGCCTAGACTTAGTTACAAAGATGATACTTAACTGAGATTCATCCTATATTTATTTTACTATTATCTCCAAATAAATTTGAAACAGTGTTTTGTAGATTTCTGAAGCAACTTGGTGAGAAAAATAGTGAAATTAGACATCTACTAGGTGCTTCTTTTCTGTCAAGAACTATCCTTAGACCTTGCCTCTATTAACTTACTTCATCCTTAGAACAAATTATCAAACAGGAACTAATACTATCCCCACTTTACAGATGAGAAAATCAATGCTCACAGAAAAGAAATACAGATTAAATGAAGATGCTGAAGATTTCCTTTAGTAAAGAGACAGAGCAGTAATACAAGGTTTCAAGGGAGACTTCATGGGGGATTCTACAGGTCAGATAGCTTCCCAAAACCCTAAACCTGAAAGAAGATATTTGTGCTGAAAGTGGTGGCAAAAACGAGCAAGGAGGTCAAAACTAACTCAATGAAGGGGAACTTATAGAAACTGATGTCCAAGTTCTAAAAGGCACAGGGTTAGAGATAGCCCAAAGGGTTGACTTTAAATACGTCCCAGAAGAATATAGTATCTGATTTATGTTTTGACTGTGTCCAAAGAAAGAGTGAGTCATGTCCATGTGCATGTTTGGGTCTGTCATTATTCAAATGTTCTTGAATGTTGGGGTCAGAGACACACACTTGATGCTTTTTCTATCTAAAGGTCTGTGCCCATGGCTGGCATCCTGGGGTACTAATTTGGATAGTTCAGATCCCAGGAGAAAAATCTCCAAATACTCAACTATAACTCATCTTTTCTTTAAATAGATTATGATCAGATGAGGCTGGAAAGGTTTTTTTTTCTTCAACCAATCACAAAAAGCCTTCATTTGTGGGGCCTTTGCTATAACAATTAGCCAAAGGGTTTTTAAAATCTCATCAAGATAAAAATGGACCCATGAGATGTTTATTGATGAGTCCTATTCTGAGAGGAATCACATCCCAAGGTCAAGCATGTTCTACCCTACAAAGTATTACCTTACGAAGTTTATCAAGATATTATGAAGGTATACTGAGAGAAGGGTTTCCCAAACCTGCATAAAAGAATCACCAGCATGGCTATTAGTGCTAAAGACTTAAGACATGTAAAATAGGGAACATGTAGACTACAAATAAATAGATGAAGCTTTTTAAAAAAATTGCTCTGCACTGATGAGTCCCAAAGAACATGACTGTGCCAAGTAGGGTAGTTAGTATGATTGCCAGCTGTAAAAGTCATCCATGTAAGTGTGGCTTTCTGTGGAACACCCCTCTCCTGTCACTCATGGTGCTGAAGTGATAGGTATACCCAGGAAAACTAGCCAGTCCTGGTTCACTCTCTCACCTTTCCTCCCTCCTTACTGCCACCCCTCTCTTTTCCTGCAAGGGTCAAGGCCCACTGTCCCATGAGAAGATACCTGTGCCCTCTCTGCTTTCTCCTTGCTTACTCTGTCCTCTCCTTTCTCATGAGGTGGCCAAATTTATACCCCAGCTAGCCCTGGTCATAATCTGAGTCTGTTGAGCAGTAACCATTATTGGCAAACATACATTCTCTTGCTCTCAGTTTCTCTCTGTTTAAATCCTCTTGGGACTAGTGTGTGAGCTAGATTCTCCTTTCATCAAAACCACAGGATACGAAGCTCTATATGAGGCTGAGATGGGCTGTGGAGGACAGTCAAGCTATTTTTATTTATCTTACTTTATAGATGAGTAAACTGAGGCAGAAGAGGTAAATTGACACCCTCCAGTCCACATGATTACCTCAAGGTCATGGGACATGAGGAAGGACAGGTACATCACCTATGAATTACACAGTGTTTCATGTCTAAAACTATTCCAGTCCTGAAAGTTATCCATTCAGTGGAGGGAGCACTGCATTGTCACCAAGGGCCCTAGTTTCTGGTTGCAGATTCATCACAGAATTATTTTTTTGTGGTATTATCATCTTTCTCTCCCTGTCACCTTTTGGAAATTGACTAAATCTGATATATTTCTCAATAGTACAGCTACATAAAGCAATAGGGAAGAAGGTTTGTTACTAAAAGCATAGAATAAAGCATGAGAATTTAGATGTTTAGTTACTGAAAATGGAAAATGTATGCTTTTTTTAAATTAATTTTTTTTTCTTTTTACCTTTTCGTTTGCCTCTGTTCCATAGGGCTCTGTTAATCAGAGTTTGGATTCTATGTCTGCCTCTCCTTCTCACTGAGAAAACAAAAATATAAAAATGATGCTGCTGACATGTTACTAAACAGCCAATGAGTAAATGAGGAACTCAAAGGAGAAATAAAAGGAAAACATATAGAAACAAATGAAAATGAAAACACAACAACAGTCCAGAATCCTTGGGACACAGCAAAAGCAATTTTAAGAGGGAAATTTATAGTGATACAAGAATACCTCAGGAAACAAGAAATATCTCAAATACATGATCTAACCTTACACCTAATGGAACTAGAAAAAGAATAAATAAAGCCCAAGTTTAGTAGAAGGAAAGAAATATAAAGATCAGACCAAAATTAAATGAAATAGAAACCAAAAGAAAATAAAAGAAAATACCAATGAAGCAAAGAGCTAGTTCTTTGAAAAGATAAACAAAATTAATAAATCTTTAGCCAGACTCATCAAGAAAAAAGGAGAGAGGAAACAAAATCAGGAATGAAAGAGAGGGAAAATAAGAACCAACACCACAGAAGTGCAAAGGAATATAGAGACTGCTATGAAAAAATATATGCTATCACATTGGACAACCTACAAGAAATGGATAAATTCCTAGAAACATACAATCATCCAAAATTGAATTAGGAAGAAATAGAAAATCCAAACAGACCAATTATTAGTAATGGAATTAAATTGACAATCAAAAAATTCCCAACAAACAACAAAAATCCAGGACTAGATGGAGTCGCAGGGGAATTCTACCAAACATTTGGAGAAGAGTTAATGCCTGTTCTTCTCAAACTATTTAAAAAAAATAGAAGAGGAAGGAAAGCTTCCAGAGCCATTGTATAAAACCAGCATTACCCTAATACCAAAACCAGACAAAGACAAAGACAAAGATGAAGAAGAAGAAGGTGGAGGAGGAGTAGGAAGAGGAGGAGGGGAAGGAGGAGAAGGAGGAGAAGAAAGAAAAGAAGGAGAAGAAGAAGAAAAAAAAAGAAAAGGAAAGAAAGACAACTACAGGCCAGTATCCCTGATGAACAAAGATGCAAAAATCCTTAACAAAATACTAGCAAACTGCATTCAACAATACATTAAAAGGATCACTCACCATGACCAAGTGGAATTTATTTTAGAAATGCAAGGATGATTCAGCATTTGCCAATCAATCAGTATGATATACCACATCAACAGAATGAAGGATAAAAATCAATCTCTATGAAAATACCAACAATACTTTTCATAGAACTGGAACAAATAATACTAGAATTTATATGGAACCACAAAAGACCCCAAATAGCCAAAGCAATCTTGCAAAACAACAACAGAGTTGGAGACATCACATTCCCAGGTTTCAAAATCTATTACAAAGCTATAATAATTGCAAACAGTGTGATATTGGCAAAGAAACAGACAACACAGATCGATGGAACAGAATAGAGAGCCCAGAAATAAACTCACACTTATGCTAAATTAACTTACGACAAAGAAGGAAAGAATATACAATGAGTAAAAGTCTCTTCAAGACATGATGCTGGGAAAACTGGACAGTTACGTGCAAAGGAATGGAACTGGACCACTTTCTTACAGTATTTTCAAAAGTAAACTCAAAATGGATTAAAGACCTAAATGTGAGACCTGAAAGCATAAAATTCCTAGAAGAAAAGACAGGCACTAATATCTTTGCCACCAGCCTCAGGAACATTTTTTTCGGGACCTGGCTCCTCAGGCAAGGGAAATAAAAGCAAAATAAGCTATTGGGTCTACACCAAAATAGAAACTTTTGCACAGTGAAGGAGAAACATCAACAAAATAAAAAGGCAACCTACTGAATGAGAGAAGATATTCACAAATGATATATCCAATAAGGGGCAAACATCCAAAATACATAAAGAACTTATACAACTCAATGTTTTAAAATTTGGTTGAAAACGGGTAGAGGATGCGAACATTTTTTCTAAAGAAAACCTACAAATGGCCAACAGACACATGGAAAGATATTCAACATCACTAATCATCAGGGAAATTCAAATCCAAACCAAAAGGATAAGAAATAAAAAGTGTTGGTGAGGATGTGGAAAAAAAAGCAACCCTTGCGCACTGTTGGTGGGAATGTAAACAGTGCAGCCACTGTGGAAAATAATATGGAGCTTCCTCAAAAAGTTAAAAATAGAAATACCATACAATCCAATAAATCTACTACTGGGTATTCACCCAAAGAAAACAAAATACTAATTCAAAAAGATTTATGTTCCTATGTTTATTGCAGTATTATTTGCAATAGCCAAAATATGGAAGCAATTGAAGTGTTCATTGATAGATGAATGGATAAAGAAGATGTGGGGTGTGTGTGTGTGTGTGTGTGTGTTTGCATGCATGCATGCGTGCTCACGCATGATGGAATATTACTCAACCATAAAAAGGATAAGTTCTTGCCATTTGTGACAACCTCGATGGACTTAGAAGGTGTTATGCTAAATGAAATAAGTCAGATAAAGAAAGACAAACACTATTTAATTCCACTTATATGTGAAATGTAAGATACTGCACAGTTGAATAAACAAACAAACAAAAAGCAGAAACAGGTCAGTAAATACAGAGAACAAACTGATACCAGAGAAGAGGAGGTGGGAAATGAGCAAAATGGGTGAAGGAGAGTGGGAGATACAGGCTTCCAGTTATGGAATCACAGGCACAAAATTTACAAAATGTGTCACAGGCACAAAAATTACAGCATAGCAAATACAGTCAAATCTAGAGATGGTGACAGTTTGGGGAACCAGCTATACACCCACTGGGATCATGAGAAGGCATGATTCTCATGGGCTTCTCTGGGGAAGGGAGGAGCTCAGTTAGCTTTTCTTGAAAGATATTCTGTAAAGAAAGATGATTTGAATGGACGACATGACCCTGGCAGGTATGTGGACCTCCCCTAAGGGGGAAGTGGTAGGCAATCAGCTGGAACTCCTGCGTTAGAGGAACTTCAGTGGAGAGATTCTTTCTAAAGAGGGGTTCTTTTTTAAAGAGCCCACAAACATGGCTCATGCATTCTCCATATGTTGGAGACATGAAGGACATAGCCCTTAAGAGGGCTATTCCTGCTCCTTATGCCCTTCTCTCCCTCTTCCACAACTTGAACTAGCTAAAAGCACTGATACTGAGGAGGGTTAGACAAGAGTGTGGATAAGAGAAGAGGCTAGTCTAACCCAACTTCCTTACTGCGTATCAGCTCAGGCTTCTTAATATTGAATGAGAATATCACTGCTGTCAAAAAGGGATTAGCACAGCTCCAGGGCTTACCTAAGACTTCATCTTGGGGCAGAAAAAGAACTATTTCAGAGAACAGTTTTGATAAGGAGTTAGAAGGAACAAAATCAACTTGTGTTTAAACTACCAATTTCAACATTTTAACAAAACAGGTAAGACAGGTTTCACAAAAACTCAGAGGAACAAAATCTTGGACCTGGGTAAGTATAAGCTAAGAAATAACTAAGATGATACAGGCAAATATGAAGATAAAATGATAGAGATGCTAGAAATATATGTGTGTATTTATTTATACAATATGTTTAAATTTTATTTATGTTATTTACAGAAATATATGTAATACACATATATAAAATGGGAGGAGCTCATTGTATGTGTGTGTGTGTGTGAGAGCATGTATATAAATGATAAAATGACAGAAATAATCTGAATAAATGGAAAGGAAACAAAATACATCCCCATATATATTTTGACTCCACAAGAAAAAGCCCAGCCAACTCAGAGTGTCTCATAAACTTAGTAACAGTATTTCATATGATGTGATGTTAAAGAATGAACAAAAAGAAAGAAAGTCTATAAGAAGAACAAGTAGAATGGGAGAAGGAAGGGGAAAAGAAAGGAGGCAAAGAGGACAAAGAAAAGAAGGAACACAATGGAAATAACAATTGCAGAATCAGGTGCAGAGAATGAAGCATCACTGATCTTTTTCATTGTCTACTGCACAAGACACAGTATGCTCTGTCTGAGTTTACTTTAAATAACTGTGTCCCAGGCTTAGATCTGAGGTGACACCAGGACTCTAGCTTCTGCTTAATTAATTCGAGTTCCCTCTGTTTCTCCTTGTTCTGTTGAGGGCTGTGTTCATTAGTTACAACAAATCTTTCTAACATTTTCTCCTGGTCCCTCATTTCCCATTCAGGGTTAGCTTGTCTCTGGCCATGTAGCTCCGTGCTTTATCCAGGTTCCAGCTGCTATTCTTGCCAAGGGTCTTAGGTGACAAGAGGCCAGGTTTGAGCCGATATGAGTTAGAGTTTTCCTCCAAATATGAAGAAGTCAGTGACTTTGGATAAAAACATGTAAGGCAAGTATGCAGATTGCTATTTGTCCCCCACAATCACTCTTTCTTCCATAGGAATAGACTTACAGCTAAACCCATGGCTGCCTCACTACAGTTTATAGTTCCTGGCCTCAATGGCAGCTAGCTCTGGACATAATATCAAGCTTTGGGCAACAGGATGTGAGCAAAAGACCTTGGATCTTTCCATTAAAAGAAATCAATAGGTGATTTCCCTGGCCATTTTTCTCATTCCCACTGGCTGGGAGACAATGGCAACCACACTAGCTCTTCTGAATCCAGGGACGGAAACCATGTGTTGAGGAAGGCAGTCTCTTCCTTCCATTTCTGGATTGTTTGATGAAAGAGAAATAAATGATATGGTTTAAAGCACTGTATTTCGGGCTCTCATTGTTAGAACAACTTAGTCTGTACTCTAAACAATCATTATTTATGAAGTTCATTGGAGATTTCTGGGGTACAGGAAAGATGGGTTTGGCAGGAAAACCAGGGTTGCAGTAAGTACACAGACGTGAATTCTCAGACTTTTACCTTTTTGGAGATTGCTTTTTTTATGTATATGTCTTCTCTTTCTTCCTTCAAACAGAAAAGAAAATAAGCTTAACATGTCAGTAAGCTTCAAATATTTTAAAGTCTTTATTCTACCTTTGTAGTGCTAAATCTCTGGCTACCAACACATCACCACACTGAAACAAAAATAGCAACAAAAACAACCTACATTTATGCTAGTCATTTACAGTATATTTTTACCTACTTACGTGAGGTTTTCTCATTCACAATAAAGAAAACACAAAAGGTAGCTGAAATCAGGAGCTGACAGAGAAGGGGGGAGTGTCACAAGGGTCAAGGAAAAGTAGATTTCAGAAATCACAAGTGTATGTCCAGGAATTTAGGGGTTTGCCTTGAAAAGCTGAAGCTATAACCCATGTTTATAACAGCCAGAACTTAAGTATGAAATAGAAAAAAAAAAAACCCATTGGAAAAATGATGACAAATTTAGAAGGGATAAAAGAGATTATTTAAGGGCAATTTATAAAAGATGAACCAGGAAGTTTAGAAAAATTAAGAAAAATTAGAAAGAAAATAATCAATGGAAGATAGTCAACAAGTCAGCATATTTCCTAAAGAAGAAAATCAAAATAATAGAAGCGCTTTGATATAAATTCAAGAAAAAAAGTTTCTGAAATAGAACAAAAAACTGACTATACTTAAGTACATATATTTCTGCCCTACAGCAGAAAAATTGACTCCAAACTGTCAACCCTGATATATATTCCAACAAATTTACTGGACTTTAAAGATAAAGAGAAAAATGGAATGGGCAACCTAGATAAAAAATGTTAAGTCATTTTCAAGGGAGGGGGATCTTGCTATAGAATTTTCTTTAGTAACAAACACCTAATGTTACAAGAAAGTGGAGAAAAATCTACAAGATGCTTCTAGAAATAGCAAGTAAATTATTTTTCACATATAAAAAATAAAACCAAATACTTTTGAACAGGAAAATTCTGGGACTGTTGTTCCTATGAATAATTATTGAGAAAACCACTTGAGGATCCACCTCAGCAAACCAAGATAAGACTGGAAAAATTTTGGCAAAAAGGATTAAAATAAAAGTGGGGATGAGGTCACAGAGTGGGATATTAAACATACATGCACTGACAATATAGAAAAGGTATAATAAAAAAATGTGTGAGGAAGGGGGAAATATGGGTGGTGGAGCAAGATCATTGTCTGTTGGACTCACGGCATGTTATTTGGACAAATCAAGGAGGGATATCAAGCACATTTAAGAGCTGAAAGATACATATAAAGGTAACATCATGATGGATCTAGAGAGTATAATACTCAGTGAAATAAATCAAAGACAAGGGCGCCTGGGTGGCTCAGTGGGTTAAGCCTCTGCCTTCGGCTCAAGTCATGGTCTCAAGGTCCTGGGATCAAGCCCCACATCGGGCTCTCTGCTCAGCAGGGAGACTGCTTCCTCCCTCTCTCTGCCTGCCTCTCTTCCTACTTGTGATCTCTATCCGTCAAATAAATAAATAAAATATTTTTTAAAAAATCAAAGACAAATGCCATATGATTTCACTCATTTGTGGAATTTAAACAAAACAAATGAGCAAAGAAAAAAAGAGACAAATCAAAAACTGACTCTTAAAAACAGAGAACAAACTGATAGTTACCAAAGAGGAGGTGCGTGGGGGAGATGGGTAAATTAGGTGAAGGGGATTACAAGTACATGTATCATGATGAGCACTGAATAATGTATGGAATTGTTGAATCACTATATTGTACACCTGAAACTAATGTAACAGTGTATGTTAACTATCCTGGAATTAAAATAAAAAAAAAAAACTATTTGACATCAAAAATAAAAAAATAACATTATGATCTAAACTTGGGTGGGAAAGGAAAGAGTGGACAAAGAAATAGGACACATGCTAAATTTATCAATTTGGGGGGTAAGAAATTAATGGGTACTATCTAAAGAGGGAGTATATAAAAGTAATTCTAAGAGTAATCACTAGATCAAAAATAAAAACATTTCTAAATATCAGAAGTACACACTTACTCCTAACCAGTGAAAATATGAGAAATGAGTACAATTCAACCATTCATTTCTTTTAAAAGGGAAAGACCCAGAAGTGGCTCACATTTCTTCAGCTCTGAGGCAATTGTCGAGAGCTTCATCACAAGGCTAGCCCCAGGGAAGACTGAGAGGTTTAGTCTAGCTAGATAGTCATGTACCCAAATATAACCACTGGAACAGAAATGCAAACCGTCCTATTAGAAGTACATACATGCACATAAATGCACATAAATGCATAGAAGTCAGAATACAGAGTGTTGACATTTTCAATATCCAAGACATACTAGAATATGTAATAAAAATTAGTATGACACAACAAGACCATGCATTTTGGTCCTATCTATAAAAGTAAATGGACATAACTCACTTATTAAAATAAAGATTTTGAGATTTAATTACAGAGTAAACTCCAACTTTTTTTTTAGATCTTCTAATTTATTTGTCAGAGAGAGAGAGACCACAAGCAGGGGGAGGAATAGGCAGAGGAAGAAGCAGGCTCCCTGCTGAGCAAGGAACCTGATGTGAGGCTCCATCCCAGGACCCTGGGATCGTGACCTGAGCCAAAGGCAGATGCCCAAAAGACTGAGCCAGCCAAGTGCCCCTAAACTCCAACTTTTAATCCTATACAGAAGACTTATGGAAAAAGATACTTTACAAATATTGAAAATAAATGTATAGGCAAAAGTATATTCAGCATACATCAACAAAAAGAAACCAGGGAGTCATGGTCTGAATATCAAAAGAAATGTAATTCAGACCAAAAAGTTTTAAGCCAGTAGTAATTATGGGAGATACAATGGAAAATAGATAGCAACCACTCCTAGTAGCAACTTTATTTTTACCACCTCAGTCTATGAGAGGTCAAGTGCATAAAACGAGGAGGCCCAATTAATACATTTAACAAGGTGGATATGATTAATTCATATTCAACTCCATGTCCAAAAAATAGAGAATGTACATTTCTTCCCACTTGGGGCAAAGAGGAAATATAAATCCAAATGGTAGACTAGCAAATAATGATAAATTATTTCCTATGAGAAACTATGCATTATCTAATTTTAAAAAGCACTAATTTTAAAAAGAATGAAAAAAAATACATGCATAGTCTTCATTATTCATGGAGTCCATATCTGTGAACTCACCCACTTGCTTAAAGTTATCTTTTTAACCCCCAAATAGATACTCATGGCACTTTCACGGTCACTCATAGACATGGGCAGAGCAGTGGATCATTCAAGTCACTGATGGGACATTTATTCAGTGCTTTCATTGGTGATTGTGTTGTTTAAAATAGTAGTAGTGCTGATGTGCTATGTCATGTTCCTAAGCACAACAAGGTTGTGATGTGCTCTATGGAGAAAATCTGTGTGTTAGATAAGCTTTATTCAGGCATGCATTCTAGTGCTGTTGGCTATGAGTTCAACATTTATGAATTAACGTATACATTAAATAAGATCTCTTTAAATAGAAGCATTCACAAAAATACTCACAAAAAAGGGTATGTATTGATTAGTATGTTGTGGCCAGAGGTTCACAGGAACATAACCCTATACTTCCTCTAGAACCAATGGTTCAAAGTTAGCAAATTCTGTGTTTGGGGTGACTTTATAGAACGTATCTACTTTGAATAGTGAAAATTGGCTGTATATGTACATATATATGGATATGTATAGATAAGTACACAAGCAATGTGTTTCCAGAGTCCATCCACTTTTTTTCATTGTTTTTTGTTTTAAATATTGTACTTTTCTCTTTTTTTTTCTTCAAATATTATGCTTTTTATTCTCAGAATTTATATTTGGTCCTTTTTAAATAATTTCTATTTATTTGTTGATGTTTGCTATCTGATGAGAAATCTTTTCTAACGTCTTATGCAGCTTTGTTAAACACGTTTAAAATAGCTGATTTAAAGTCTTTTGTCTAGTAATTCCAGTGTCTGGTCTTCCTCACATACAGTTTCTATGTTTTCTGAGTATGGAGCCATACTTTGTTGCTTGTTTTGCATGTCAAGTAATTTTTTCTTAAAAACCTAATATCTTAAATAATATGTGATAACTCTGGAGATCAGATTATCAGATTATTTTCCCAAAATTTGTTGTCATTGCTCTTTGTTGTTATTCCTGTTGGTTTTTGTTGTTTATTTAGTACTTTTTTTCTGAACTAATTCTGTAAAGTCTGTGTATTTTGCTGTGTGACCTCTGAAGTTTGAGCTCAGTTTAGTGGTGAATTAATGACTGGAAAGAGATTTCCCTAAAGAGCTGGAAGTGATAAGTCTCCCAGTATTTGCCAAGGGGCTAGAAATGCCTGTGTTGATGCATGCCTTCAATGCACAACTAGACAGTTGACAATTGCATCCTCGCTGTCACTTCCTGCTTGCACAGAGCCTCCTGGTTAGGCAGAGGTGACAGGTGAGGGCTATCTTAGGTCTTTCCTGAGCCTGTGCCCAGCCCTGGGTATCTTAGACCTGTGTGTGGCCTTCCAAATGGCCAGGAATATTGGGGAGCTCTAGATATATATATATATATATATATATCTATATATATATATATATATATATATTTATTTATTTATATACTATATATAACATATTACATACTTATATGTATAAAACTATATATTATACTACAATGCTATATATGAAATATTACATATTTATGTATAATAAATAAGCTATATATGTATGTTTATATGTATAAAATACAGTTTTATAACTTTATGTGTTATTTTTACATAATTATGTATTATATAAATATAATATTTTTAAAAGTTTATACATTTACATATTACATATTATATAATTTATAGAAATGTAGAAAAGACTCTCGCCCCCTGCGCCCATTCTCTTGCAGCTGACTTGTTTATACCTCATTTTTCTCCTATACACGTCAGGAGGCAGCAAGACTGATAATATAAAGACCTGATAACGGTAAGACACAGAAACTGGTTTTTCTAGGCAGGCAGAGAGAAAACAACTATTTGCATTTTA